CGAATTACGAAATAGCAGCGGCTGACGCTCTTCAAGCCCATTCATTCGCGTTCCGTTGAAAAGAAACGCACTCTCTCTCTCTCTCTCTCTCTCTCTCTCTCTCTCTCTCTCGTCACGCTCGTGTTCTCGGCAGGCGGAATTCACCGGGGAGTCGCGCGAGTACCTTACTCGCCTGTGTATACGTCTTTAGGGGTAGTTTCCGGGGGCCCCCCCTGCACGACCCCTACTGCCTACCAACTCGAGTTAGTCACGTCGGCCGCTCCGCTGGTCGCAGGAACGCGGCTATCAAAAACTTGCTAAATGAGCGGTGTCTCTCTCTCTCTCTCTCTCTCTCTCTCTCTCTCTCTCTCGGGGAGTCTCCCCGATTACAACTCCGCCGGCGAGAGCAGGCGATTCGTTCCGCGGCTCGCTTTAAGGGCTCGCGCTCGCCACCACGCGTACCCCACGTTTACTTACATTGCGTCCCGTGTCAATGCACCCTCGCACAGGCCGACGTGGAGACGACGTTCCGCTCCGCGAGTATCCGTCCGTCCGTGCGCGATTCGGAGTCGGCGACCGCGACCGAGAGCCAGACCAGACAAGATCACGGACGAGACGACGACGACGAAGACCACGTAAGCGCGCGCGTGTCTGCCGGCCCTGACGAGCCCTTATTCACTTCACCGTGAACAAGCGAACAAGCGAACAAGCGAACAAGCGAGCAAGCGTGCGTGCGTGCGAGCAAGCCGGCCGGCCGTTCGTCCTTTTCCGGCAACCCTCCGCGAGACTAGTCCGCCGCCTCCGCACGAGCCGCCACCGCCGCCACGACGCACACTACGGGCGTATTGTGTCCCGCGCGCGTGTACTACCGCCCGTGGCTCCGGCTGGTAAAAGAAAAAAAGGGGAGCGAAGAAACCGCCGCCACCACCGCCGCCACCGCCGCCTCCACCGCCACCACCGACGCTGCCGCCACCGCCGCCGCCGCCGCCGCCGGTTTTATAATCAATATTAGTTGACGGAGAATCCGCGCCGCGTCGCCGCTCGTCACGTGGCTCTCCGCTTGGTGGGAGGAGAATGCGAGAGAGACAGAGAGAGAGAGAGAGAGAGAGAGAGAGAGAGAGAGACACGCTCTCGCGCCGACGGCGGTCTCTTCTTTATCATCCCGCCCGCGCGGCGTGGATAAGGCGATAAGCCGCGTTGCAGTCGATGGCACCGACGGTCGACCGGTTTAACCCTTGACCCGGGGTTACTCGACCCTTTCACGGAAACGGAAGATTTTTCAGCGGTGGAGGGATCGGTGCAGGATAAGCGCGGATTGGACGCGATGTTTCGGGAATATTATTTATCTTATAATTTGGTTGCGCGATATCGGGTGCGATAATACGCGCGATAATAACCCGCGGCGGGCACGATTGAAATTTTCATCGGAACAATTGGAGCTCTCGTCACTCTCACGCGCAGTCGCGCAGCGTTCGTATCAGGAGTTACGTTGTCACTCACGATCACGGAGTACCCATATTTGATCCCGACACGAAAAAAGTTGTGGATTACATCCGCACCGCGACATTGATTCAATGAAATCGCTGCTTTCGCGAGCTGTCGTTTAAATATAATATCGTCGATCTCTTTGGTTTCGCCAAAGATTGCAAAGACCGCCGTAATTATTATCAATCTCGACGTTACGGAAATCCCGGCAGGTTGCAGCTACGCTTCGGTAGCTTCGGTAAGAAATAACGAAGCGAAGGTGTGTTGTCGGCGAACGAGTTAAGCTCTCTCTCTCTCTCTCTCTCTCTCTCTCCCTCTCTCTCTCTCTCTCTCGATCGATTTGTATTAATTCCATTCGCGCCGTCGCTGTGTGGATTTGGATGTTCACTCGATCGTGCACTCGAGTTTCGTCGCATTATCCTCCAATCGATTTTCTACCGGGAGGGTAACGACTGTGGCGGCGTTCTGTATTTTGATTAGCCGCCTAGTATCTGTAACATCTTTTCATGTTTCAATAGTCGCACGGATCTTTGAACGTGCGTATTTCCTGCTTGAAAAGAAATCGCCGATTGCGCGTTGCTCGCGCTCTCTTCACGTTTGGAAAAAGAGATCAAAAGCCCCCCGCCGTCCTCTCAGTGGGGGGGGGGGGGGGGGTGGAGTATTACCATTCGTTCCGAGCGCTAACGATTTCGTGATTGCATCCTCTACCGTTGGTCGATGGTTGCGAGAAATCCTTCCAATCATCGTCGCTTCCAATGTTCAAGCAAGAATCGGCTAAATCGCTAACATCTACATCGAAATCTACATTCAGCGAAATCTTCCGCGCCCCATTTCTGTGCATTCTTTTCCCTTTCTCCTTTTTAATCGGCACGAGCTCTCTCTCTCTCTCTCTCTCTCGTCTTCGGGCGACCGAATAATTCGGCGAGCGCAGCACAGCGTCCTGCAGCGACCTTTCGCCAGTGCGAACCGACGGCAGGGTGTGGCGAGAGACGCTGTTTAAAGAGATTCACTCAGCGGTCAGTTGCGCAGAGCGTTCGCCGGCGGCGCGCCGGCTCGACGACGCCGTCGACGATGCCACCGTCACCGCCGCCTCCGCCTCCGCCACCACCATATCCACCGCCGCCGCCACCGTCACGTCGGTCTCTGGCACGCCATCTCGGCGATGCCGCCCCCGACGGAGGCGGAGGATTAGCAGCGCGCGAGAGCCGGTATGTCGCGCGCGCGTCGATAGATTATCCACGGAGTTTTTCGCCGCGTCGCGTCGCGATTACCTCCGGCTCCGGTTTGTACGATCGAAAATGATTCTGGGCAAATTTATTTTGGAAAAATTTATACAGGTTTAGAAAAATGTCAGTGCTTGCAGCAGAGCGATTTTCCGAAAAGTATCCGAGAGCGACAGGCGATTTCCGCGCAAAATTTCCATTTTGCGCGGAAACGCTAACGTGTTCCGGTAACGTGAATATTTTTGCATGTTTTACACGCGTCATTTATATATGTTAACGACAACGATATCGCTGTCCGAATGCTGCTACCTTCTTATTCGAATCTCCATTAAAAATTGGACTCTTGCGGATCGTCGAATGTGGGACAATGAATAGCGACAAAGGCAGCAGCGAGTTTTATCCGACTCGGATAATAAAGACAATGAAGGTCTCACGTACTGTGAAACAGGAACTCGAGTCACAATGTCTGCAATGGAGCTTTTTTCGGGTTGTTCCGCAAATCTCCAGAGTCGCTGATGTTACAACGAAGAACGCGCGCGCGCGCGTTCTTCGTTGTAACATCAGCGTTTGCACGAATCAATTATTTACGCCGTGGCGCCCCGATTTCCCGCACCGTTTCGAAGCCGTCGGCGAAAAACGAACGCGTGACAATAGAGATAAAACACAGCGGGAATCCGAGATGGCTGCTCTTCTTACCTCGCACAGGATGTTTAGCTTAAAACGTCAGGAGCAGTTTTAACGTCGACGTTGCGCGACAGCAGCGAAATAAAACACGCAACGACAATCTCTCTCTCTCTCTCTCGGCGAGCAATAACCGCGAAGAAGGAAATCGCAGACGTACGAGAATTCCTGTTTACCAGGACCGTCTATTCGCTTTCTTCCGTTGTATCTTATCGCTAGTCGCAGTATACGCAGTAGAGGCCACCGCTGTCTTTATGACGTAACAATCCAATAGTCTTCGGTTACTAATTATTTTATCGTCTCGCTTTCACCGCCGACTCTCGCGAGAGCAAACTTTCAACGCGAATTCGGAGACGCATTTAAGATATCAAACCGCCCCCCCCCCCCGCGCCTAGTTTCATTAATGCCAAACAGTACGCCTGGGGAATTGTGAAACGTCAAGTCGTGTACGATGATGGCGGAAAGTGTGTAACGATATGCATCGCGAGATACTTTCGTTTAATCGAACGATTAAATCGCTCGGCGACATATCTTATCCGTTATTCTACACTGACGCGCCTCTGTTTCTCGTCTCGTCTCTACCTATCGGGCGCTAAAAATATCCCGCGTAACAGGACGCGCGGGGGCATTCCCCTTCCTCCCCCCCCCCTTCCCCGCACCTACCCCTCCAAGGCAGTCGCTTTGTGCCGCGAATCTGCAATTGCAGCAGGATAGGATGGGCTCGCGATGAAGATGAGAGGCCCGGCGTATCAATTTCACGCGGTACGAACGGAGGGCGCAGTCACTTGAGAGAATAAAGGAAGGGAGGGTGAAACTTGAACTCAGGAAACCCGACTGAAGCCTCGCTGATTCCAGGGGTTAAGTTAAGCTCGTAATGCGTCTACTTAAAGGCCAAGGAAGAGGCGAGAATAGGAAGCGGAGAGGAGGAGGGGAAGACAGAGCGAGAGCGAGAGCGAGAGAGAGAGAGAGAGAGAGAGAGAGAGGCATAAAGAGAGTGAGAAAGAGGGAGGAGTAAACGAGAGGAACAGGAGCCAAAGGCGATTGCAGGCAATGCAATCTGGATAATCTCTCCGTGGAACAGTCGATCTCGAGATAGTAATGAGTACTTCTATTTGCGACAGATTTGGTCACTTTGGCGCGCAAAAAGGCGACAGCGAGTTTTCCGCGCGTTTTTACGCGAAAGGATAATCCCGTTATTACGGTTGTCGTTCATTTTCAGGGAGGCTCTAGGAGAGGCGGTAGGATTTTTATATCCGATAGAGAACGCTCCGAGAAATCCCATTTCCCTCTACGTTGTTGAAAATCATCCTCGAAATCCCATTTCTCTCTTTTCAGTGAGGCAAAAAGTGTGCGCGCGTGCGTGCGTGTATTACGAGTAACGATACGAGTAAAACACTTTTCCGACGCACTTGGAAAGCAGCAAAAAACGCAAACTCGTTGCGAGGTGTATTGTAATCTGACCGTGGAGATACAGAAATTACATTCTGAAAGAGCGACGACTCTCGGTCTATCTATCGAGATAAATTAGATTAAAGATCCAAGTAGTTGCAAATGGGGGGAAAGAGAGACGGAAGCGAAAGTTACACGGAACTCGCAGTCGCGAATGAAATTTCATAAAAAGTCAGGACTCACCGGTATCGTTGGACTGCCGACCCTTGCCATCTGGATTCCACTCTTCCTCTGTGAACAAACGAAGAAAGCAACAATTAGCGGAAACATTTCCATTAGCGAGGAAGCGACTTGCGGGCAACTTAAGCGCCAACGACAAGATAGTGATTAAGGACAAGCGGAAACTGCGGGATATTTCGAGATTACTTCGCAATTACATCCGTCGCCTGCCTTCCCCCCCCCCCCCCCGCCCCCCTGTTGCATCGAGCACACACAGAGAGATGATCCCTCTTCTCGATTTATATCTCCCCGTGTCAAATATACGCGGGGAGGGATCGTGGAAATGAGTCGTTTTCATCCTGCTTGGACGCATATTGGTCTCCGACAAATTCAACAAAGTTATTACGACGGCGCGGCGTTCTTGTTTGGTAGTTTCGGCAAACTTTCGCTAACAAGTATCGGAAAGTTCCGCGGGCGGGCCAAAGTTCAAATTTCGGAAAGTTACGGGATATTGCGGAGAGAGGCCTAGAGTGCAGATGGCTCGCTCCGCTCCTTTCGCGCGATACTTTCGCGGCCGAGTTCCAAGGACTTAAGAAAGCGCGACTCCGGAAGAGAACCGCCGCGCGCGCCGTCGATTTCGATCAGCCGCTCGCGGCAATTCAGCACGTCTCGCGTGCGAACTCGCGCGCTCGTGACCGCGACCTGTCACCGAAAGGCGAAGTGCGCCGGTGTTTTATACAGAATATATTTCGCAAAGTACAGCGAGCGACACGCGCGATACCGCAGCGAGTATCTCTCTGAGAAAAATTCTCGCAGCCCTGCGCAAAGTGGTGGCAGCGAAGTGGCGAGAGCGCGACGCGGCGACGCAAGAAACTTTTGACTTATTGTTGTTAAGCGCGACCCGCTATTACTCGGCGCAGCGATAACGTCGAGTACTTTCTGCACTTCCGATAAGTTTCTCATGTTTCCTCTCAATGCGCGAGCATATTCCACAGCGCGTATCTGCGCTTCTTAGTAGTCGGCGCGTCGTGCACGCGCGTGTGTAATCGCGCGAAAACCAAGACGAGCGTTCTCACGCTTCGCGCTCGGCGCATTTTCTTTTTCGTCCTGCTGCCTGCCTGCCTGCCTGCCTGCCTGCCTGCCTGCCTGCGCGTCGTGTATTTATGCAAAGCGCACGTCGACGTATGACAAACTGCAAACCGAAGCGCGGGACCAACAACGCGCGGGACTTGCATCTTGCGTGGAACGCAACGGAGGGGAGGCGCGTATGTATGTATTTATGCAAAATGCACGTCCACACACACACACACACACACACACACACGTGACAAACTGTAAATCGAGAGTCGTCGATGTGCGTGCGCGCGTTAATACAGGACGTTCCAGACCGGGCGGACCTCGTCACTCAAGCGTGTATCCCCTCGCATCAATTTCGGCCGGAGATATATCGTTTCTTCAGCGCCAACCTCGAGAGAGAGAGAGAGAAGCATAAGCGCCTCCTTGTTGATCGACCAAGAGACGGTCTATTAATAAAGCGCATTAATGACGCGGCTCATTCATTTCCCTTGTTCGACCGATCGAGCTTAATAATCCTCCTCTCGAGAGGAGGCGTTTCATCCGCCATCTTGTGTGTACGTAACAAGTGTTTTTCTTTCTGACCCTTCCCGGAATGATAAAGCGCGCGTCATTGAAAAACGCTGAGATTGATCGCGGACGTCCCGTGTGTGTGTGTGTGTGTGTGTGTGTGTATCAACGCGGTGTATGTTTACGCACGCGTGTGTACTTGCGTGTACGTACAACAGCGCATACTTTACGTCGGTTGTATACATCGCGGTATCTGTCGCGCGTATATATGTGTGTGTGTGTGTGTGTGTGTGTGCGCGAGACCGTGTGAATTTATAAGGATCCACGGTATATAGCTGTTTCCGCATTCTCGGCCACGCGGGAGGTATGAATTTAGATTTATGCCGTGACGACCTATTTCCTTCGGAAGCACTCGTTAGAGGGCCGACACTCATTAACAAGGCCACCCCCAACGCTTCCTTCGTCTTGGACGCGAAAGCGCGCTCACGGCGATGTTATCCGTCCGCGAGGAGCGGCGGGATCTCGATCTCTGAATTTTATCCGCGAGCCTCGTCGTTCATTCAGTTCCTGCAGTTTCCTCCCCGGTGTTAAATGTCAAGACGCCGCGGCAGTTTCGGCGGCGAGCTGTGCACGACTAGGAAAAGAGATTTAGTATCTCTAACAAAACTGTTTAGTCGAGGCATTTTTCAATAGCAATCAAATATCTTGTTCTATATATAACAAAATATTTAGTTGTCTCAACTAGATCTATTTTTCCGCTTTGTTCTTTGGACCGAATGATTTTGTTCTTGGACCTCATATATAGAAATCAAGCACTTCAGTCCATTTTATCCATAAAAATTACATAACAGCGAAATATTATTTTACATAAACTAAAATAACGCCCCAATGGATACTATATTTTCTACTTCCTGTGCGCTAAAATTTTGATTTTATATATTAAGAAAAAATTATAGTATTTTTTAACAAAATTCATACAGTTGAAGCTTTCTGGTTGCTGTAACAAAAGTATTACGTTATATACGAACAAACCGTAATCAAACAAGATATTTGTTTGCAGGAACTAAACAGTTTTGTTTAGTTCCTATTTTTAGTTCCAAATTATTTTGTTGTTGCAACAAAATTTTGGTTCACGCAACAATACATTTTTCCTAGTGCGAGCGGTGGGGGCTTTCGACGTGCGGAATTTCTGTGCAAGCAAGCACACATCATGATGAACTCTCTTGTCCTTCGTTCGACCTCGACGCGAGAAGGACATTTCTTCCGGAATTCTCGCGATTCGCGAGATTTTATCGTCTCGGGATTAATAATCTGACGCCGTGTGTGTTCGGAGATTGCGACAACGAACGCTCCCTCCCCCTCCCCCCCCCGGAATTCTCCGTGCGGAAGAGATCCCCAATTAACAGCGATGGCAGATTTTTCGGCGAGAGACGCATCGCCGCGGAGTCGTCGCCGTCCAGACGGAAATTTGACGGTGATCGCGCACAAACGCGGCCGCGACCTCGGCTTCGCGGGAGGAAGAAAAAGAGGAAACGGAGTTTCCTTGAACTCCGATGAAAAGAGTCACGAGTATATGGAGAGGAGGAGGAGGAGGAGGAGGAGGAGGAGGAGAGCGCGAGGCGAAGAGGAAACGAAGAGATGAGCAGCTCCGGTGATGTGCGGCGCGACGCGCGCAAAAGGCGCGGCCTCGCGCTTTTCGCCGCTTTTTCCCTTTCAGCCGCGCGTAACCCCGTTTACTGCGAGCCTGTCGAGGATCCGGGACTTTTTCACCGGCGCGCGCTTGGCACCGTTAAACGGAATTTAAATTGGGCTCCGGCCGCGCGCCGGCTGGGAAGCCGCTCGTTACGGCAGGACACCGCGGCCCGGAAACGGAAATTGTAGCACCCTCCGCCTACGACATCAATCGATCGCCGACTGCGACGATAATGGGTGTTTCGCGATACGTGTGATTTCGCGGGTTGTGCATTGCACATGATCGCTGTCGTCGTAATTGGCGAAACGTGTTACGCACGCCCCTTTCGGCGAAAAAGCGCGAAACCGCGCCGCGCACACGTCCGGTTATTTTCCTTTTTTTTTTTTGTTCCTTTCCATGGAAATTAACGCAACGATGCGGCGTTGCATTGTGCGCGCGCGTGTTGTTTGCGCGTCAATCGAGCTGGTTCCAAGTGGGTGTCGTCCGACGAATGACGTCAAGCTCAAGTGAAAATTAATTCCCGCAAATAGAGCGTTATTATCCGCGCGAATCGTCTCGCTTAATGTTGCGCGCCAAGGGCCGATTTTTGTGGTTTTACAACACGGCGAGCGCGCTCTCTCGATTTCGGAACATATCGGAATATGCGCGCGGCGCATTCTCCCCGAGCGAGATGCCATCGTGAAATTCTTCGCGAGAATGACGGGGTGGCGTATCGTGGCGGAATAGCCGGCGAGGCGAAAGAGGAAGTTGTACACCGCGTGACCTTCTGAGTCTCCGCTACACTTGGCATGCGTTTATAATTAGTCGATAATGTTGACGAGGAGCGACGGAAATGCCGCCTGCACTTCTTCTTGTTTGCGACTCGCGTCTATTTTTGCGGGAGGCAATAATCGCGCAGAGGTCTCTCGATTGCGCGCGCGCGCGCGCGCGCGCGCTAATTGCTTCGCTCGAGACCGCTCGAGCTGTTGGAAGAAGGTTACGCCTGTCTCACGACATTGATACTCGCGTGTGAGGTCGCGTAAATTGAGATCGCGCTAGAAATGCAAGGCTATCTCGGACCGAAAGACCGCAATGATGAAATCGAAAGAGTTTCGTTCGCTCTCGCTTCTCTCTCTCTCTCTCTCTCTCTCTCGCCGGGAGATTTCGCTAATAAACCTGGCGGCTGGAGATAAGAGTCTAAACCCCGGAGAGACCCGAGGGCGAAACTCGGGGAGGAAGTAATCCTGATTAGTACCTTCTGTGTACGGGTTACTGTTCGTCTTACCGTTGTAGATCCCGGAATTGCGACGCCCCGGCCGAATAATGCCGAATTCGAGGTAATCGAATTCAACCCGGAATTATTGCCGCCGAGACATCTCTAAAAATGCCAGCGAGATAATCGACATCGAGAGTAGGGATGCAACGATAAGCAGTCGATAATATCGAAGTATCGAGTACCATCGAGAGACAAGTATCGAGCATTTATCGATATCCTTTTGTCTCCGACAAAACATCGACATATCGACTGCAAATTTTGACTGATTTTCGTATTTTTCAATTACAGCTCTGGGCTATCACGGTTCTACCGAGAACCGAGATGAAAATGACAAAAGTGAGTGAATTCACTGGAATATATATTGTGTAATTGATCGATGTCCAGTAAATTCGCTCGCTTTTATCATCTCCACGATCTCAATCGTTGAACCGTAATAGATCTCCTCTGTTCCATGTATGTGCGGTGACCTCCGGCAAATGACTGCGGTTCATTATACTATATCTTCTAGTAAGAATACGACAATAAATTATACGGAGATAA